TCTTCCACAGCTGGAGTTCTGGTACAAATACACCAGTGAGTAAATAATCAATAATTCAAGGTGATCAAACCAGATGCAGAAGCTTCTGATCCAGTCGTTAATGATGATTGATTGATTGATTGATTGATTGATTGATTGATTGATTGATCATGTCACATGACCCTTGGCCCAGAGTCTTGTAAATCTGCTCTTAAATCAATGAAAGCACATTTGAATGATTTGAACTTCACCTGATGACGTCATAGATCTGGACCCATGTTGGTCAAACCCTTGTCTGAACGGAGGGATCTGCTCTCTAGACCGAGGAGACTTCCTGTGTCTCTGTCCTCCTCAGTTCCATGGAAAGACCTGCGAATCAGGTAAACATCACCTGAGACCTCGTCCTCAGTGACGTGTTCCAACAGAACCAACAGTGGGTTTTCAAGACACGTTCTATGAAGAACCTGTGTGGTTCCTCAGGGTCATGTCCCGGAGCCACTGTCTCTGATCTCATATTTAACTTATAACTGTGTCGGCCTGTGAGGTCACTGTGAGGTCACTGTGATGTCACTGAGTATCAATAACCTATGTGATTTGTTCTGCGTGTAGAGTTGTTGCAGTGTCGCTATAGAAACGGAGGCTGTTTGCAGTACTGTCGGGACCAGACAGGGGGCGCTGGAGTTCAATGTGGTTGTGCTGACGGATTCGAACTGGAGCCTGATGGACAGAGCTGCTCAAAGACTGGTACAATTCAGAGTACTATGGTTACTACGATAACAACTATACATAATACTGAGGTTACTGATATAATTACTGTAGATAGTGCCGAACTACTACTACTGTTACTACTGTAAGTAGTTTACATAGTAATATACACTCAAAAAGATATAAAGGTTTTCTCTTCTCTTGAAAACGTTTTTATTAGTAGCAGTGTTATTATTATATGAAGATGTGCATCAAAGAGCACGTGGTCACAATAGAATTCACGATGTGCAGTTCTTTCATGAAATCCAGTGCCACCGATGTTTAGAAGGATTGGGAAATTGTCAAGCTAACGTCAGGAATGTCCACCGCCTCCGACCTGATTGGATGAAGTGAGTGGTTTGCTGGTGTCAGTGTTGTAAACAGTGTAGGGGGGGTTATGGTTTGATCAGGTATGAGCTACAGACACAGGAGCTGTTTTTTGATGGATGGACACAGATTCCATGATGAGCTCCTCAGGCCCATCGCCTCCAGTTTTTGTCCTTTTGTGGAGGAGAAGTGTCACACTGTGTGGTCACCCCCCCCATAAACCAACCAATGTGAAACTGTGGTTCAAAGACGAATAAACCACATTTGAGACCTTTTATTGTCTCAAGAGCAATAATTGAGCTCTTTGGTCAGTATAGTAGAATATACAGGTTATGTTATGAGTGCTGTACTACTGATATATATACTCATGAGTATGATTCATGGGGATTCAGTCTCTTTGTCCTCTCCTGTCCAGTTTTGTTCCCCTGTGGTCGCGAGCAGGTCGCAGCATGGCATCGAGGACGCTCTCTGTGGGACAACATCACCGCAGAGACAGAAGACGACGTCACACACAGCTGGGACGTCAGAGTGAATTTAACAGAGAGTCAAGAGATGAACGTGACGTCCACAAACACCACAGCTGGAAGGAGGGAGGGGCGAGGAGGGGGGCTAGGGCTACGTATTGTGGGCGGGTCTCTGGGAAAAAGTCCATGGCAGGTAGACACGCCCCTAACAACACACACATACACTTAAATATGATCAGTGTCTTTCAGTGTGTGTGTGTGTGTGTGTTCAGGTTCTGATCCGCAGGTCTGATGGTCTCGGGTTCTGTGGAGGAACTCTGGTTTCTGATCGATGGGTCGTCTCCGCTGCTCACTGCTTCGAAGAGTCTGCAGACCATGTTACTATAGGTGTGTGTGTGTGTGTATGACTGTGTGTGTGTGTGTGTGTGTGTGTGTGTGTGTATGTCTGTGTGTGTGTGTGTGTGTGTGTGTGTGTGTGTATGACTGTGTGTGTGTGTGTGTGTGTGTGTGTGTGTGTGTGTTTGGCTCCTCCTCTTCCTGTACACACATGTATAGTTTATAACATTTAAAATTTTAAACATGAACAAATCTTTGTGTTGATACAGTTCTGTGTGTCTGTCTGTCTCTCTGTCTGTCTCTGTGTCTGTCTGTCTCTCTGTCTGTCTCTCTCTCTGTCTCT